AGTATAATGGATCGGTACAAGTATATTGACATTTTAAATCAAAATTTGAAATCTTCAGCACGAAAATTGAACTTCATCGTAACGATTTTAAATTCTACCAGGGACAATGACCCCAAGCACACTGCTTTGAACGTTAGACTCTGGCTGCTGTATAACTATCCTGGAAATAATAAAAACACCACCACAATCTCCAGACTTAAATCCACATAGAAGAATATTTGGCAAAGAATTGGAATCAAGAATTCGCAAACATACCATTTCTTCAAAACAACATTAAAATGGGTGCTTCAAGAAGAATGGGGTAAAATGACTCCAGACATCACAAAAAAAAAAAAAAAAAAAAATTAGTCAAATCCATTCCAAGAAGATTAAATCATGTTTAAAGTAAAAGGAAATCCAACAAAATGTTAAAACCTTTTAAAAGTAAAATTTTTGGATAAATATTTGATGAAAAGTAAGTGTCCCATCACTTATGTGAGCCATTTTTTGCTCCGTTCTAAACAATTATATTTTTATTAAATTAATATTTTAATATTTTGAGAAATGTATGTTATGTAATAATTGTTACTAAATTTAAGTATGAAACACACCCACAAAAAGTTTTACATGTTTTCTTAATTTATTTTATTACAGTTTCCTTTTGTAAAGCACAAGTGTCCCATCACTTTTGTGAGACACTGTATACTAATATCATAGCGTTTCATACGTGCAGACATTTTGTAAATGATTTTATAGCTGTTAATTTGTTAATGCTTTTCATGTTTGAAGTTTATTGATATATAAAGCTCTTTTGAAGGGATTATTATTGTTGCCTTGACAAAAATCCTTAAGAAAATTCGCTACTTGGGTTTTATACTTTTAAATTCTGTTGACTGAATCTTTCAAAAGCACAGTTTTGTTTTCCTGGTGTGGGTGTTACGTATATAAATTTAATAAAGCAGACATTCACTGTAATAAAAGTTAACTTAGAAACATCAGTCCTTTAGCATTTCTCAGGCAAAAGCACTTTTTTTTTTTTTTTTTTTTTTTTTTTTTTTTTTTTTTTTACATTTACCAACTGCATCCTCGGAAACCGCTCAGAGGGGGGTGTCCTCAACGAGTCTTTTCCTTGATTGCTTTCTGGATTTCCGGACACTGGGGTATGTTCCTATGAGAAAAGAAATTTCTCTAATAGAAACCCGATGTTTGTAACAGTTTGGCTTGTTTGATTCTGGCAAAGTACACAAGGACTATCTGCCTAAGGGGATGGATGCCTTCGTGGAGGACTGTCTAAGGGAAACCGCGTCGTATACACGTTACACGGAAAACCACGAAAACGCCCATGCAGTCAGTCCGTTCGTTTTGATTCGAACCCAGATCAGAACTGCCAGTGATCAACGTTTTTCCCGCTCCGTCGCTGGTAGGCTTGCGCTGTTTAGACCGAGTAATTTTCCAGTGTTCAGAGGCGATGTTTTTCTTCCTTTATTGTACTCTGTATTCTATATATTAAAAAATGTGAAAGGATATATAGACAAAATTTAATTCATACAGTTTTATACGAATGTACTAAAACGAGGGGGAAAGAGTTTAGTTATCATAATATTCTTGCCCATACATGACTAAAACTAAAATCATTGGGCGCTTTTATACGAATTAAGTTCCTTATCCGACCTTAACTTGTAGGCCATTATACGACCTTAACAGCATTAGAAATGACAACTATAAGAATAGTTACTTACCTTCATTTCCTTAGGAATTTACTCTTTGACGTTATTTAAAACTGGCCATGAGCAGTTTCGCCATTTTGTTTTAATCGCATATATGACTAAATATTATTTAAGTAAAAAATATTTTCTCCATGTTGTTGTGTCTTTATGCAGGATCCAGACAGCATCCGAGTAGTCATTGTAAGCCGTCCGGGTGTCCGGCCCTGCTGTCACCTGTCTTTAAAGGTCTGTTTGGGTAATAAGACACCGAAATAGAGCTCTTGATTGAAGTCGAAAAGTCTTTCAAAGAGTATTATATTTTCATCAATCAAATTAAGGAAACGGTACACTTCGAAATTCAATATAATAATAGGTAGCTTATAAATTATATTAAACTGCTGTTTATCATAATTATACATTTATTCCGATTCGGTTAGCATTCTGGAGATGTTGCGGATGCTTCTCAAATGACTGTGCAATTTGAGATTCGTGACTGTATGTTCTAATAGTAAAATTTTGTGCAAGTTGTCTACAAATCTGCTTTTAAAGGTAAAATTACCAAACTCGGCGAAGATTTGTTAAATAAGAATACGTGAAGAGTTTTAATGTAAAATACTCACCAATAGCTGTCAAAGGTATTTAAGCGTTGTTGTTATAATTTTATGATACGAAATGCATTAGCCACGCTTTCTGCCAAATATGATTACCGAAAAGCCTACAGCTGAGCTCCAGAAAGTTTCACAACGGTTTATAATTGTAGGTATTGAACGCCTGTTAATAGGCATTCGTAGATATGCATATGTATGTGCTTCTATGTAATAGATAACCCTCATGTACAATTGACGACACTTAAAGTTTTCGTATTATTCAGCCAGAGTGTATAATTTAAGTAAGGAGTTAAAGTATGTGATGTGTTTTCCCCATCAGTGACCGAATAGATTAAACCACTAAACGCCTGTAGTTCGACTCAGGTTAAAATCCCAGCGAACGGCTGACCGGGAATGTTTCCACATGTGGTAATATGAATACAAACCAATTGTCCTCGGAAAGTCCTCAGTGAACCACCCCCCCCCCGTGGTTAGGGGAGTCTACTGCGGTACCGAAGGACCCGGGTTCGAATCCCGGAGAAGGCATGGATGTTTGTAAATGTAGAGTGTCCGTGCGGTATGGGGACACTCTAAATATGCGGCGAGCCGGAAGTTCTCTCGAGAGGTTGTTGATAGGGAAAGAGGGTTGGGAGACCCTCGCACCGCCCCTCCGAGATACTCTGCATCAAAATTGGGGGCGGAACTGAACAAAGTCGTACTGTCACCTAGTGTGGTGCTGAAGGATATTGCCAACGACAGGCGGAATCTTGTACTCCTTGCCATAATGAATTTCGTGCGCTTGTTATGATGCTACCGTCAGACGAGTGAGATAAGTCACAACATAACAACACAAGGACTCACTGAAGTAATCCCCCTTTTAGAAAGGTTGCACCTGTGTGCTTTTTGTCAGTTAATTAACGTGTGTGATTCATCTAAATACTTTGTATTCCTTTCAAGTAAGTCATACTTCTGAGAAGAGGATTTGTGTGTTTATTTACATCTCAATGATATTGCTATGAGTTTCTAGCAAGGCAGCTTGCTGAACTTTACAGGACGTAGGGTGTCTCCAAAGTTCTAGTAATTTAGTTAAATTATATTTTTATTTCGTCAGTTTTCATGCATATTACAATGCAGTTTTTCTACGTAATCCCCATTTAATTGAATACACTTATCTCACCATAAAACTAATTTTTTAAGCCGCTCTCAAAGAACGTTTTTCAGTGTCTGCCTCCTTATGGCATAGTTAAATTCTGAAACCCAAACTCTCCGTAAAGAGTTTTATATCAGTTTGGCCGCTACGTTCTAGAAACAAGGCCTTTATGACGTCACTTATCGTCTCGGTTTTCATGGTGATGTGACGAGATAGATGAATTGCCTCGTTCCTGGAAGGTTGCGGCCCACCAGCGGCCGAGCGGTAAAGTCACTGAACGCTGGTAGTTCGGTCCGAGGTTCGAATCCCGCGAACGGGCTGGCTGCATGGGTGTTTTTGTGGTTTTCCCCATGTGTAACGTGTATACGAGCCAGTGTCCTTTAGAAAGTCCTCCACGAAGGCATGCCTCCTCTTAGGCAGATAGCCCTCGCGGCTTTGCCGTAATTAAATAACCTAACCTAACCTGGAAGGTTGCGGTTCGGCACGCTGAAGATCCCGGGTCCGATTCTAAGCGAGTGCACAAGTTAGTTTCGTTTATTTCATGTTGCTAAATTCTTCTTGATCTGCGAAAATGAATGAATTTTTCTTCGTTAAGCGGACTCATACACCTTAAACCCCTTATGATCTTCGAATATGTGACTGTTGAAAGAATTGGAATATTTTATTTATTTTAAAAGCAATTACTTCCAACTTTTTACAGCTGACTACATAATATAGCTACTTTCTGAAATAGTAACCAGAAAGTTTGTGTTGCCACAAATATTTTTGTAATTTAATGTTCTTTGTGACAAAATATTTCGCCATGTTTCCACCTTACGCGCATGATATTTTAAAAATGGCTAATGTTACATACTTGAAATTTGATGAAATTCTTTATATGGGTACTACTTTCTAACTGAACCAACAATCTGATGAATATTTTAATATTGAAAAATTTTATGGACGAAAACATTATAAATTTTGTTAATAAAATACATTTTATAAGCTCAACTCGAAATAAAATAAAAATTTAGCATGAAATTTTTAGAATTTTAGGTTCACAGTAGTTTCCAAATGTTATAAAAGCTATATATTAAATATGGAATTAAATTGTGAAACAGAATGTTTTAAACTGTGCGCGCAAGTTGGAAACATGACGAAAAATGTTGTCACAAAGCGGATTAAATTATAAAAAATATTTGTGGCAACACAAACTTTCTGATGACTATTTCAGAAAGCAGCTATATTACGTAGTCAGCTGTAAAAAGTTGGTAGTAATTGCTTTTAAAACAAATAAGTTATCCCAATTCTTGCAACAGTCACCTTTTGTGTATGAGTCCCCTCAAGAAACCATATCCTCGTTGTTAAACTCCCATAAAATAAACTCACTTTTAATTTTGAACTTTATTGAGCAAGTTTGTTTTTTGAACCACTTATTTCATACCAGATAAAACAGTTCATGTGCTTATGGATAAACTCATTCTCTTGAACCAGACGTGTGAACTAATTATTTGATATTAACTTTAACTTTCACTCTGTCACTGACTGACAAATTGCTGCTAATCGATGGAGATTGATTTGGGATTATTATACTTGCAGATGCGATGATGATGCTTGCTTCGAGACTTGAGAGCTCTTTCAACATCGAATCCGTGGTGGATCCTATCGACATCAAAATATCGGATGCCATCATGAATTTCCAGGAGAACGGGCAGACAGTGTCGCAGGAGGTGAGTGAATAGCTAAATACGTTCGCCTGCTCAACCCTTTCACGGCTGATGTGGTTAATTTGAAATGAATGCTTTGATAAGTGATTATCTGACTGGCTGATCAAAGTGTGACTTTAAGTGCAATTTAACTGTAGTAGGCTAGAGAACATTAGAATGGACCGTAGATTCAGAATGTTGAAAATTCGTGCATTCAGCGGCGATTATTGTTTTATAATTTTATGTTCGGTTTATTGGAAACTCCTAAAAATGATTCAAGTAAGGCCTATGAAATAAATTTCACCACTCCCCTAGCTAATTTATACTTTGTGGAAGCTGGATGTTAAAATATTCAGTTAACTGTCAGTAGCTCAAAGAGCACTAAAATTGAACTAATAAATAAAAATAAAATAAATAACTAAATATGAATAATAACAGGTAGTTTTATTTTCGTGCGTTATGAGGTATGTATCTAACTATTAAATTAAATTCTCAAATTTCTGTGTAATGCACATAGTTTTCTGTTTATGCAGATGATATTTGACAGATTCAGAGTTTTTTTACTTCCTTGTACGAAGTAAAAATGAAGTATTGTAATCGCGAAAAGTTTCAGGCAGCATATTTCAACGAAAATATCCATTTTGACCGCTATCGAATGCAATTGAACGATGTTTTTGCGTCATATCTGTACGTAAGGACAGAATAAAAGACTCTTTTCCTTCAAAAAAATTATAAAACTGCTTTAAAATTAATTCTGAAGAGAATTTTTCGTGGCGTCTGTACGAACGTATGTACGTACGTATCTTGCATAACTCAAAAACGAGTAGCCTCAGAACGTTGAAATTTTGTATATAGGACTACTATAACATGTAGATGTGCACCTCGTATTTTGGTTGCAATCGGCCGCACCAAACGTATATAAATATATTTATATATATATCCACTCTGTTACCCGGTTCAGTGATCTCAGTTTCTTTACTCGTATATGTTTGTAAATTGTACATTTTTTCCTTAAAAATGATTGAATTATATTGTTTTTATCTTAAGGATTTTATGCCTTTAGTAAATCTGTGTGCAATATTTTTAGAATTATCAGCAATTTTAAAGTTGTTTAATTGCCGCTGAGCCTGTTTTAATGGCGGCCATTGATGTTTACATTTGAAACAGGAGTCTAGTGGATTTGTTGCCAATCTAGAGAAACTTAGATTGGCAACAACCAAGATAACGCATTCGTTTATTATTGCCAATTAAATCATGCTTAATTCTTTCTGGAAATTTTTGGAGGAAATAAGCGTTTAAGATTAATTCGTAAATTTTAATATAGATATTTTGAGTTTTTCTGTATTTTTGCCTTCTCGCGAAGTGAGAAATACTCAATCGTCTGTGAAAAACTGTTTCTTTTTTGTTTTATTTGCTTAATTTCTTTTATACATAGTTCTAGCTTTATTATAGTATTTGAATAGAACATGTGGCAACGATTAGATAATTCTTTAAATGATATACATTTTGTGCATTCTGAGTTATAATAGGAACGAAATATAATACTGTTAAGTAAACCTAGCGCCAGAGTGTCGCTATGGTAAACAAAGTGAATTTTAAAGAATGCATTTATTCTATTGTGGTTTAGGCGCTGTCGTCGAAGTAGGTTTAATTCAATCTAATAAGTTTAAATAAAATGCAAGAAAAAATGCGCATAATTTTATATTCCGTACAAGGAAGTCATGTGTTGTACACATCAGATTTTTTATATCCCGTCTCTGAGAATCAATACTTTAGAAGAGGTGAATATTTTTGAGGAAGAAAAGACACTTCAACTGGTTTCTTGGTTTCCTTTGTAGTTTAACGCCTATAAGAACATATGTTCATTATAATGCAAAGGTAGGGGTCATTTTGACCGTGTATGCATTTTAATGTTTTTTTTTACCTGTTTTGCCATTTAAAAAACATCGTAAGGCAATAAAAAATTGAAGAACAGTTAAAGTAACAAAGAGAGACAATAAACGTGACTGATAATAAATGTATTACAATTTTGAAACATTTACAAAAGTAGAAAACTTGTTGTTACCAAACATTCACATATTACATACTGGTGTAAACGTAAGTCCACAAAGTTCCTCAGTTCTAATCAACCAGTGTTGCCAATATCAGAACGTAAAAATGCCAGTTGGTCAAATTGACCATGTATACTTAATAGGTGTCAAAATTCTTTCTTTATAATTTCTCATTCAGCTACAGTATTTATATTTTTATTAACTACTGTAAGAAGCAGTTTATGTACAACATTCAAATAAATTAATTCAATAATAGTCTTTTTTTTTTAAGTCTTGGGGATATTTCAACTTCAGATTCGCAAGCTGCCTAGGTGGCAATCTGCTATTAAAGAGAAGGAATATTGCTTTATACATAGCTCTGCTGTTATTTTAAGCTTGTGCGTAATAGAGAGTTTCATTATTATCAGAAAAATTCAAGTTCAAACTGAGTTTAAATAGTAATCATGTGAAAGCGATTCTTGTCACATATTTAATAATTTATTTCCTGATTTTAATGAAGAATCTTCCTCTACGTTTGAAGAAAATTTAATAATAAATATCTGATGGGGATACCACATGACTTTCTTGTACAGCCTATTAAATTATGCTTTTTTTTTTTTTTTTTTTTTTTTTTTAGCTTTCATTTAAATTTATTTTCTCGAATTTCATTAGAGATATATTTCTCATTCCATTAATTCAGTTCTCACTTCGTGGCAAAGCAAAAATGCATAAAAACTCAAAACATCTTCATTAATAATTGTAAAATGTACAGAAACATAAAACACCAAGTAAGTTAAAAAAAAAAAAAAACATTTCAGTTAAAATTAAAGTTTCTGCGCAAAACAACCAATTTGGCCAACGGGCAGGAAGACGTATTACTTTGAAAGTTTTCTTTTGATTCCACTCAGCCAAAAAAAAAAAAAAAATTGTCGCTATGTAAACAAATAGCAGCCTCGTTGGGATTAGTACCAGTTTCAAGTTGTTTATAATTTTACAACTTTTGCATGTAGATTATCTAAAAACATAAAATCTTAACCGGAATATAAGAACAACATAATTCAATCATTTTCAAAGCAAAAAATGCACAATTTACCAAAATATAAAAACGAAACATTTGAACTCACTGAACCGGGTAACAGAGTAGGTATATATTATGGTGTTCGCCGCGGACGAAAACGTCGCGGAGAAAACAACGCAAGGCGAAAACGTCGTGCTACAAAACATCGTGGGAGAAAACATCGCGGTACAAAATATCGTCGTCGAAAATAAAACGGTTCAAAAACTTCGCAGTTTAAAAACATCGTCGTCGAAAATATCGTGGTAAAAACTAAAAGTATCTACAAATCATCGCATGACGATAACATCGCAGACATGCTTTTTTCAGGTTTTAATAATTGTAAATGGATATTCCCATAATGATTTGTGAGCGCAAGATGTAAAGAAGGATAATTTTTACTTTCACATTTTTTTATTAACTTATAAATTTTTCCTGAAAAAGTGAGAAGGAAACTTAAGCATAGAAAATTAAATGCAACTTATATATTATACTTTTCATGAAAAATTACCAGTAAAAACTTTATAAAAAATGATTTATTAATGGCCTTTGTTAGTTAACTATGTCGGTTTAAAACTCTATTAAGTGCTATAAGTTGCATTAATTTGCTATGCTTAAATTTCCTTCTTACTTTTTCAGAAAAAATTTATTAGTTAATAAAAAAATGTGAAAGTAAAAATTATACTTCTTTCCATTTTGCGCTCACAAATCATTATGCGAATATCCATTTACAGTTATTAAAGCATGTCTGCGATGTTATCGTCATGCGATGATTTGTAGATACTTTTTTTTTACCACGATATTTTCGACGACGATGTTTTGTACCACGATGTTTTCTGTTTGCGATGTTTTCTCCCACGATGTTCTGTAGCACGACGTTTTCGCCTTGCATTCTTTTCTCCGCGACGTTTTCGTCTACGATGTTTTTGCCGCGATGTTTTCGGCTGTAACCATATATAACATATGTTACGCTGAAACACCGAAATCTGGAGAATGTCGACTTTCACCGGTGAATGTCAACATTCACATAGTCTCTTGGTGTATGTCCGAAATATTTTCCAAATACTCTTATTTCTGACTTACACCGGTCAATGTCGACATTCACCATGTACTAATGATGAATGTTGAACATATAACAATATTATATTTTCTTCTCCGTCATTAAGTCGCGAATAAAAGCACTTGAAACTTGAAATAAGAACTTAAGAACATGAGAACCTAAAACACACAATACATTCAAAGTGAGAAAGGAAAATAATAGAAGTTAAAAACTTACTTAATTATACAGTACGTTCTAAATGAGAAAATAAAATAACAGTCATAAAAAACATAATAAATTATGTGATTCAAATCTTATTTATTGCAAGAACTTAAACTATTATGGCACTTTATGACCTCTCTTTTCGACTTTCACCAGAGCATATCTATGATTGTCGACATACACCGGTGAGGGTCCGAATATACAAGAATGTAGCGAAATATTCGGTCTTTCACCGACGTATTTGGTGAATGCTGATATTCTTCGATGAAAGTCGACATTCTCCAATTTCGGTCTTTCACGGTAACATATATATGTACACGTTTGGTGCTGCCGACTGCAACTAAAATGGGAGGTGCGTAACTACTTGTTATAGCAGTACCATATGCAAAATTTTAACGTTCTGAGGCTACTCATTTAGAGTATTGCCAGGTGCATACAAACGTACGTACGTTCTTTCGCATTTTTTGGAAATTATTTTCTATTAAATTTTTTCTCGTTAACTTTTAGATAGAAAGATTGGCATTTTCAATATAATCGTCGGCTACTGTTTTGTATTCACTGGAATGCATAATAAGATATTTATTTTGGAAATGACTTCTAATATTGACAGATGGCTTGTACGCTTGTAGACAAAAGCTACACAAAAACACGTCCATAGTAACATACCCCTCAGTCGTATGGTACGAGATCCGGTATTTAGGAGACAAACTATGGAATATTTAAGTCATCCCACCTTTAGAACCGCATACAACAATCACGTTATCTTTCTTCCTTCACGTAGACATCATTTTCTTTGGAACTGCCTACATCACTTAGGTATTCTCTAAGAAACATAATGAATCAATTGCATAACATTCAGAACATGTTGAATCAGTGTTTATAAAATATAACTGAAGCAGATGAATTCATTTGCAGTCTTTTTCGAAGCATTTCAAATAAGGAATTGGCAATTTGTGTTCGTTAATAGCACAGTCATAAGGCTTAGTGTGATTGCTGTAATATTAGTATCATGCATAATTTTTCTTTCCTTTTCTTTTAAGCTTTTCAAACATTGTGGTAAACCACGACTTGGTAAGAGGGACGCTCGACATGAGCTCAATTTCGAGACATTGAAATTCGGACACCGCGAGAATGCAGTCCGCCCTACAACAGCGGCCGGCACTAGCATCGATCGTCTTGTTCAGAGCATCAAAAAGAAGATAAAGAAAACCAGGAACTTCTGGGTGCAGCTATCAAAAATCATGTGTACCAATCCTCAGGTGGCAGGTCAAACCAAAACCTTACCTGTGGATGACTGCTGGAATGGCTTGGACCGAGCTAAGTAAGTGGATTTATTTCTGGATTATCTGCATGATTATGCCATATATCCACTCTATTACCTGGCTCCGTGATCTCAGTTTCTTTACGCTTATATGTTTGTAAATTGTGCATTTTTTGCTTTATGATTGAATTATGTTGTTCTTATGTTTCGGTTAAGGTTTTTATGCCTTTAGGAAACCTGCAAGCGATATTTGTAGAGTTATCAAGAATTTAAAAGCTGTTTAAGTGCGGTTAAGCCTAATTTTTAAAGAACATGGCGGACATGTTTGTTTACATTTGAGACAGCAGAATAGTAGATTTGTTGCCAATCTAGAGAGACTGAGCTTCGCAACTACAAAGATAACGCCTTCATTTATTACTGCGAATTAAATCATGCTTAATCCCTTCTGGAATTTTGAGGAAATTAGTGTTTAAAATTTACTTCGTAATTTTTAATGCAGATATTTTGAGTTTTTATGTCTTTTTGCCTTGTCGCGAAGTGAGAACTGAATTAAATGAATGAGAAATACTAAATCGTCTGTGAAAAACTGTTCCTTTTTTGTTTTGTTTGCTTAATTTCTTTTATATATCGTTCTAGCTTTATTATAGTATTTGAATAAAACATGTGGCAACGGTTGGATAATTCTACAAATGATATAAACTTTGTGCATTCTGAGTTAGAATATGAACGAAATATAACGTTGTGAACGTAGCGCCAGAGTTATATAGTTGTGAATGTAGTGCCAGAGTGTCGCTATAGTAAACAAATCTAGTGAATTTTAAAGAGTGCATTTATTCTATTGTGGCTTATGCGCTATCGACAAAGTAGATTTAATTCAATCCAATAAGTTTAATTGAAATGCAAGAAAAAATGCGTATAATTTAATATGCCGTACAAGTCCTGTGGTGTACACATCAGGTTTTTTTAATTTTTTTATTTTTATTTTTAATGATATGATCAGTGGCTTCTTTAGAAATTAGTATATCATTTAGCATTTCTTTAATAAAATTAAGCAATATATATCGGTGCTTGTGTTCAAACCAGCCAACGAAAAAAGTGGCTTTTCGAAAAAAGATGACTTTAGAAAAAGGAATTGATAAGAATGGCAACATAAGAATCACTCCTACGCCCCAGACTATAAGTCTGTTACTTTCAAAATAGGCAATTCAAGGTCATTTGGACTTGCCTTGTAAGCATGGTAACGACTAGCTCACGGATGAATGTCTGAACAAAAGCCGCAGATGAGGTTGAGAAAATAGATGCTTTACGATGGTAAGTTAGGTTGAGTATTAACCCCTTCGAGCCGGGTAACGAAAACGCGCGCTTATCGCTGAGGCCGGCAGTGTCTTACGCGAGCGTCTCTCCAGGGCCGGGGGCTTTTTTGCTACTAAGCCTAAATCCCTGAAATTTCCGAAATATCAACGCATTGTTTAATAATGCTCTATAGAGTATTTAAACGGCTTATGCTTTTTTCTTATAAATATTTATATATATATACTTTAATTACCTTATTTCTTGTTTTTTAAATGCATATTTTACACGTTTTTAATTTTAATTACTCACCATTTTATGAATTTTAACATTATACATCTGAAAACTAAATATTACTTAAAATTCTCTTTTCGTATGAAAATTTGAAAACAGGGATCTACACACAGTCCTACGTTACATTCCTTGCACTCGTAATAACTCATTTGCCGTTTTGGAGGATTTTTCCGGGAATGTGAACAAACGAAGCATCTCGTCGTCTCATTTTTATCAGTCTCTTCTGAACAAAGTTTTGGAAAATGTCTTTCAGTTAATCTTTCAGAATCAATATCAGAATATCAGAATCAATATCTGAAATATTTTGCATCATTTCTGCTATTCATGCTCTGTTAAACATTTTCGACGCTTCGACATTGCAACGGTAAAAACAAAGAATTCACGTCTAACAAGATGTAATTATTTTCTAAAAACTGAACTGCAAACCGAAATACCCAACGCTTTAGAGCAATAAAACTTCTCTACTTCAGTAAACGACTACCACGTGCGAATAAAGTGCGATTTAAAGAGACGTCATAAATCACGCCATTCGGAAACATTTATTTTCCCCGTTTTGTTTATATAATCAAAAACACGTGTATGTGAGTCATGCTTCTCTCATTTCGAGTAGAAGGTCTAATTTACATGTATCTGAAACCATATGGACATACAGTGGCATCTTGTGGCAGAAATTATAGTTTGAAAAACGTTCCAAAGTACTGGCACAAATACGTGACAGTCGGTAGAGAATGGAACAATCCTCTGGCACGCCTGCGTGTCGGCCGGTAGGTAAGTGCGTTCGTTGCTGGCACGTATACGTGATAGTCGGCGCGAAGGTTTTAAGGCCTTTATACGTCTGTTTCAACCTTGAAGTAATTATAGTTAATATGCGGCCGAAAGATCTTGCATTTCAGTAAATCTGTAGGCCTAAAAGAGTCGGATATGATCCCAGTTAGACCGCATATTTGCAGTTGAGTTATATTCTTTTTTAAGCATTTGCTGTAGCTTATGATGAAAGGAGGGAAAAAAGTAAAATAAATGAGAAAATGTAACATTTTCCTGCCGTTTGAAGAAACCGACATTTCATTTTATCGAACATTCTCTGTCAGGTGAGTTACATGGTAGAGCACAATTCAAAGATGTGACTCATTCTGTCAGATTTTGATAACTTTACCACTGATGAATATGAAAAACCTTCCAGGTGCTTGCTGTCGTCTTTCCGCAAAGGAAGACGAGGTCGGGGTGGTGGGGGATGGGAAAGCACGTATTCATTCCTATCTGAGAAATCAAAAATTTTCGCCGTCTTTGATTCGGGTGCTGAGTAAACATCTGCCGGTTTCCATGTGGGTGAAAAAATTCCCTCTTGCGAAGAGTGGGCAAACAATTCCAGCTTCTAGTGATAGATATGTATAGGACGGGATGAGAGAGGGGGCAGATGTGGGGATGAAACAGGCGCTTTTCTTTTAACAGATGCTTTATGAAATATGAAACATGTGTGGTAATCGCGTTCGCTTTTACCTGGAGACTTGAAAGAAACGTGTGTTGAACTTTTTTTTATTCTATAGTGCTTATAATTTATGTATCAGAAATGCCTTTCAGAAGTATTTGATACTGTGTAAATGTGTCTATCTTGAAGTATAAGTAAACTTCCATAGAAGAAAATTGAATCTGATTGCGCTGGGGCATACTGAGATGCATTTTAGATGGTATAGAATGCAATGCCATCTAATACACTGCAATGCTAGTGAGGGTGTATATTGCCTCTGAAGAAAAGTAACGCATCGTAATTATTTTAGTTTAAAAAATCCATTTTGTAATAAAGTTCTATTCTACTTACAGCTTTCCTTTCAAGTCCCGTAATCATAGTTATTACTATCGTAAAATCCAGCTTCATCAAATGGGTAAATGCAATAACTGAATCCTGTACTAAAACATAATGACTTGTAGTATATCGGCTCAGAAGAACAACGATTTCAAATAATCTGAATAATTTAATATAATAAATAATATTTATTATACGTTTAGATCTTTAGTTTATTTGAATACCTTGCACGTTGATTTCACTTATTATGTATTGCGTTACTTGCTAACTTCTTTAAATTATGCTAAATTCATTTTTTTTTAAGCCCAAAGAGGCGTTAGACCCAAAGGGCTGTAGTCTCAAAACGGCATTTTGAGTCGTTTCAAACTGTTGCCACCAAATATTTTCGATGTGTTATATTTGAAGAAACTAAATAATGAAGCATCTGCACGAATGTTTCTCGCATTATGGAAAAACAACGGTACCTAGAGCCATCCAATTTTGAATTTGTTTTATTATCTATTTCAAATTTTATAAAACTTTAACGAATTTTTGGTTAAACAAACTCAACGATTTCAAAGCGAGCACTGGCAACACTGTACGGGGGTGGGGAGTGGGAAGAAAATCTGAAAGGTTTCAGATTTTAAATTACGTCCAAAGGGGCTTTTTTTAACATTTTGTCTGTTACTTTTATTTATTAAATATCACGTTCTTCGCATTTTAAACCATAAAATTCAGTTCAAGAGCGATGCTATAAAATATTGAAAATATTTAAATTGAGCATATCTTTAGAATTTCCGATACAGAGTCTCGTGCGCTGGAGATAAAAGTGCTTTGTGTACAACTTTGCCATTGCTTGCTTTGAAATCCTTGAGTTTGTTAATAAAACATTCATTAAAGTTTTACAAAATGTGAAATCTATAATAAAACAAATTCTAAATTTGGGCTTCCACATGCCCATATTCGCAGTAGGATTACGTCATTCAAAATTCGATGGCTCTATGTACCGTTGTTTTATCGATGGCTCTATGTACCGTTGTTTTATGTTGTGCGAGAAGATTTTTCATTATTTAATTTCTTCAAACATAATGCAGGACTTTAACATTGGGTGGCAACACAGTTTAAAAAGTGAAACGGACATTTATAGTGAACCAACGCAAAAATCGCAAAACAAAAACAATAGTCCTTCAGGGACAAACCCCATTTGGACTAAAAATTCTATCTCCAGCGCCCGATACTGTGTATCGAAAATTCTAAAGATATGCTGTTTTTATATATTTTGTGATATTGCTGTTGAATTGAATTTTATGTGGTTTAAGTGCAAAGAACATGATATTTAATAAATGAAGGTTACACAAAAAACGTTAAAAATACTCCCGTATGGGCTTAATATAAAATCTAAAAGCTTTCAGACTTTTTTTTTTTTTTTTTAAAGGCTTTCATTTATTTTGATTCATTTGCTACCAAGCGTTGTTTTCCCTCTCCAGTATCAAAATTTTACCACACAACTTCCAATTCTGTCTTATCATCGTCTCTAACAGCATCATGATGGTTATAATATTTTTTTCTTTTTGCTTTTTCTTTTCTGTTAAGCCAGTGTTAACATTTTTATGAAGTCTCCATGCCACTGAAAATTTTATTAGGAGTACTTTCATTCCAAGATATTGTTTTGATAGTAAAATTGTTTCATAAAAAGTCGTATAAAAATGAAATAAAAAAAATTAAGTATTTTTCCCCTCCATGCTTTTGTTCTTTTCTCTGATGGAGATTTTAAAACGGGAAAAGTAATTGTAGATAATATGTATGTTTGGTTAATTAATGATGAAAAAGCAATTGAGGGAATACATATTTAAGGATTTTTCTTTTTCAGTAACAGATAATTATACTTTTCACGCCCCCCCTTTGAAAAAACCGATTGGTTTCATCCACTACTGAGGTTTGAGGTTTGAGTAGTAGTTATGAATAATTCTGAATGTGCCTTTAAAGGTTTTAGAATTTGACTTGTAATAAATATCAAGATAATGAAATGAACTATGTCGCGGAAATTGAAGTGCTACCTTCTTTCATAAATGTTTCATTCTTTTTCTGCAAAATTTAACCTTAAAACAATGGCAGTAAACATCAGAATTGTCTTGAAAAAAATTAGTAATTATCTAGATGTTTTTATGCGGAAGGAAATGAATGTTTTATAAAATATTTAATCAGCTAAATGTGTTCAGGAAAACTTCTTTAAATTTAAAAATATTCCAAAATGTCCAAGTAGTTAATTGCTGGACTATTACATATATATATATATATATAATTAAGTTTGGTGTGTTACCTTTATTAAGTATCATGTTCTTCGCACTTAAACCACATAAAATTCAATTCAAGAGCAATTTTACAAAATATTTTTCCAATACACAAGGCACTGGAGATAAAAGTTTTTTTTTTTTTTTTTTTTTTTTTTTTTCCCCTCGTACTGTGTTTCCATGCTTAGATTCGAAATCGAACGGGAAAAGTAATTGTAGATAATATGTATGTTTGGTTAATTAATGATGAAAAAGCAATTGAGGCAATTGAAGGAATACATATTTAAGGATTTTTCTTTTTCAGTAACAGATAATTATACTTTTCACCCCCTCCCTTTGAAAAAACTGATTGGTTTCATCCACTACTGAGGTTTGAGTAGTATTATTAATAATTCTAATGTGCCTTTAAAGGTTTTAGAATTTGACTCGTAAAAATATCAAGATAATGAATGAACTATTCGCGGAATTGAAGTGCTACCTTCTTTCATAAATGTTTCATTCTTTTCTGCAAAATTTAACCTTAAAACAATGGCAGTAAACATCAGAATTGTCTTGAAAAAATTAGTAATTATCTAGATGTTTTTATGCGGAAGGAAATGAATGTTTATAAAATATTTAATCAGCTAAATGTGTTCAGGAAAACTTCTTTAAATTTAAAAATATTCCAATGTCCAAGTAGTTATTGCTGGACTATTTTTTATTTATTTTTTTATTTTATGGTGTAGTGTGTGCGCGTAAATTAAGATTTAGTAATCAGATTGGTAATTGAAAATAATTTAAGTTAAAAAGGAAATCTGAGAGCCTTCAAATTTTTATATAACGTTCAAAGGGCTTTTTTTTTTTTTTTTTTTTTTTTTTTTTTTTTTTAATATATATATAGTTTTGTGTGTTACCTTTATTAAGTATCATGTTCTTCGCACTTAAACCACATAAAATTCAATTCAACAGCAATTTTACGAAATGTTTTTCCGATACACAAGGCACTGGAGATAAAAGTTTTTTTTTTTTTTTTTTTTTTTTTCCTCGTACAGTGTTTCCATGCTTCGATTCGAAATCGTTGAATTTGTTAATCGAAAATTCGTTAAAGTTTTACAAAATTTGAAATAAGTATTGAAACAAGTTCGAAATTCAAAATTTGGGCTTTTAAGTGCCCATGTTCGGTTGGAGAACTTAAATTATTCAAAATTTGATGGCTCTAAGTACCTTTGTTTTTTGACAATGCGAAAAACATCCACGCAGTTTTTTCATTATTTAGTTTCTTTAAATATAGTACATGGCGATAATATTCAGTGGCAACAGTTTGAAAAGTGAACCAACGCAGAAAGTGAAACGACGCAAAATGCCGTTTTGCGACTAATAGACCTTTGGATCTAATGCACCTGGATGACCGTTTTGCTAATATGTGCAAATTGCTGCATGCATAGAGACTAAAAAATATTTAAGATTACATTTGGAAATCTTTTTGGGGGGAAGTAAGACTATTAACAGAGACAGTTTAGCTCATTATTTTTAGCACTTATCATCATGTTTTGGTTTCCAATCCACTGAAGAAAAAATCGGCACGCACGTTAGAATTACTGAATTACTTTCTAAAAAATTAAGCATAATATTCCATTATTTTCTTTCTAATCTTCTCTCCTCCCCCGAAAACGTGAGTTTATTATAAATCGTGAGTTTCAAATTTTGGTTTAAGACTAGAAAGAAATTATCGCTTTTCACTTAGATTCTTTCTGAAATTATTTATTTGTCGGGTGTTTATTGATTTAGTTTTTCTTTAAACATTTTGCAGGTACGATGCTGACTTAATGGGTGAAGGTTTAATGAATCAAACCAAAAATCCCGAGGTCAGCTTTGATGTCTCTCGTCAAAATAGCCTCATCAACCAACAAATCCTCACTTTGAAGCTCATCACCACGAAGCTCACCCACGCTTACAATGGCCTGGATGTCGAATGGCAAGATTCAAGTAAGTAATACATCTGTCTCTTGTTCTTCCGCGAGTGCTTCGACTCACCTTGGCAGAGGTAGAGAGTTACAACACCGTAAATCTGATGCCGCAACTATGTAGATCAGCCTAACAGCTGTCTGCCATTCATCCCATGAGTCCTTCTTCTGTTACCATAATTTTCCTCAGCAGATGGGCGAGAGGCGTGGACAAAGCATGGAGGTAGGAAAGGGAGGAGGGGCCATTCCGCGCTAGAAGTGAAGCAGTGCTTTGAAGCTTGGGTCACCAGACGGGGTGTTTTTTGTTTACATTCAGAAGCTCGCTTGACAAAATTCTGATAGTATTTCGACACACGACAGTTCCATAGAAATCGAAAAAGGGACACTCTCGCATGAAAAACATTCATAGTGTGATGGATAATAGCAATTTGTATAGTTTACTGACATTTACGCAAAATCACATCTTGGTTATTTTTCGATAACTAACAACAGCGATTTTGATTATGAATTTGTTTTATAAAATTCTAAGCTGTTGCACTACAAAAATATAGATTTTAAGAAAATTGCTAAAAGAGATCTGCCAAAATTTATTTTCTAGAAGATTTTAAAAGCTTGAAACTTGATGGCTAAATGTAAATATAAAATTATGTATGTTAAAATATTTGTAATTAGGCACATAGGTCAGATTAAGTTTTTATTAAATAGAGTAACGCATGCAAGGGCTATCTGCCTAAAGAGAGAGATGCCATCGTGGGGGAATTTTGAAGGAAAACTGACCTTTGAGTGGGTGTTAAAAATAATGCTTATAATTTTCATTCAAATTATATTCATATATATTATGTAAAACTTTCGGGTGTATGCTAAATTAGTGTAAATTACTTTACATGAAAAATATAGTGAATGCACAGAAATTAAAGATTTGCACATGCCGGAAATGAAAAATAGGAAATATGTATGGGTATTTATGCATGTGCTTGCAAAAAGCATGTATCTGCCTTTGACAAAATACTTAAATATTCATTAAATTATTTATAAATATATTTGAAATGACGAATTTATTCTCTTATAAACAACTGTGAAAGTACTGTGAAGAAATCTAATGATTAAATGTATCTAATTATAATGATTATAAATGTTATCTAAATATATAATAACCTTAATATTGAATTGTAAACATAAATTGAAATCCTGTTGACAAATACGTTATAAAAACTATTTAAGCAAGAATTGTTCGTATTGGAAAGCAATCTGTTAAAAGGTATGTAAAGCAAATGCTATGAGATGCACACTTAAGAACGTAATAAAGAGTTTTGGAATATGTATTGTTGAAATGAAGGGTAAAAAAAAAAATCTGATAAGTATAATTAAAAGAATTATTCCCTTTTACATTTATAATAACTCAGTTACAAGTTTTTAAATAATACTTTTTAGAAATGTTCAGAGAAAGTCAAATACTATTTTCCTAATAATTCTCTAATTTAAAAATGAACCGAATAGACATTAATTATAAATTGACTTACATTTTTCGATTTAAAAGAAGCCAAAAATCATGTCATATTTAAGAAAGTATTTTAGGAAGAAGCTCTATAAATAGAAAAGAAATAATGCATAATTTAATATTAATAATACAATAAACTTTGATCTTAATTTTTGTACCTTAACCGAATAAAATCGAATTACTACCTTAATTTTTTTTTTCTAATGTAATTAACGAAAACTTGTGAAAATATTTCATTCAAATTAAACCATCTCTGAAAAACTGTCCTGTGAAAAGTATAGCATTTAATTCCGTTCAGAATGAAATGTTGTTTAAGAATATGTTGTTTTCACATACTTAGGACTCTGAAGTGTTGTAGAAAAAGAAAATATATACATTTATATGTATATTTGCGACGTAACCCGAACGCGTCAAATCCCATAGAACTCAATGGTAAATGACCCAATGTTTTGGTCACCACGTAGGGATCGCCGGTGCTTCAGAGCAGGGTACGGAGAAACTTGTTTAGGGCGACTCCTTCTTACTTCCTACCTCCATTGGACAAAGTGTCTTGTGTCTATCGCCTGTGGATAGTTCGAGGAAGCGACTGTGGATCTGTTTGTCCCCGTGCTTGAATAAACAGATTGCAAAATGATAGTCACCGTTATTTGCCGACCATATTCCATATTCAGTGTTTATCATCCCTCCGCAAGGAAACGTAACCTGCGCCATTTTCCTTTTGTGCCTTTTTTCTTTTATTTTGACAGGCTTCTGAGTTCGCTTAGTAACGGTATGTTTGTGCAGCTGTTTCTGACTGCCTGTTGCAATACATTCGATTAAGAGTAATATAAGTGAACCTTGGGTAGCATAAATAGTGTGTAAGCTAATTAATTATTAAAAATAACAATTTTCGAATTATAAACAGGTTAAATACCCAGAATTTGGTGGTGAAGATCCCGTGAGCACATACAAATGCAAGGCGAGTAAAGGATTGGATTGGGTTATTGTAATTTGGCACAAAACCTGTCAAGGCGAGTAAAGAATCGAATTTAATGGTGTTGTAAAACATAATCATTACTGCTTTTGTCCCATATACGGATAATTAAATAATAAAATAATAGTTTGTAAATATGGGTAATTAGATCTCCGGTAAAGAAATATACTGTTGCGTTATAAAGGTTCGTGGATTTTGAGTGACTGATGACAAGACTTGATGAAGAATCAAAACACAATTTATTACTCAGGGGAGTTCTAAAATCACGTTTACAATCTTCGAAAAACTACGATAAACACGCTGAAAAAATCACCAACACAGCCTTTAAACTATCAGGCAATAACGGTGAAAACAGCATCACGATAAAGCACCAGAGTACAGCTACCGACTCGGTTCGGTCATTCTCGGAACTCAACGTATTCTCGAGACTCTCCACACTACAACTCGCGGTGAACTCGACGATACACTCGTTAGCTTCAACGATGCACACTGTCGATGCAATAACTCGCGATACGCTGCTACTCCGCGTATAAGCAGAGTTTATATAGATTTTTGACCTGCTTTCGAAAACATTCTGGGCCAAAACGGTAAGAATTCGTTCCAGAATGTTCTCCATCCGTCTATGGCATATCGCTAATTTTGTCGTCAAATGTCGATAGATGGACGATTTAGAGCCAAATCTAGCAACCCTGCCTTCCCTCAAACGGCCTTGCGAAGCTATCTTAACTTGGCTAGGCATTTCGTAACAATATTTATGGAGGTGTATAAATATTTATTAAAAGAAACCGAAGCTGAGTATCGAAGATGTTCAATCTACTGGTGCTTCTGTGCCACATCGCCCATCAAACCATGCCAAAGGCAACATACAGAATTAAGAATTTATTAACAACTATCTTATAACCTGTGTTACTAATAAAAATACTGAATGTAGCATTTTGTTAAATGACTAAATGAAGGACGAACTTTGTTTGCGTTTACACGAGTTATGAATTAGCTGTCAAATTTATGAATTTTAAGACGCATGTCGTAGGAATTGTACAGCGCAACAAAACATTTGTACCAAGTTTTGTAATGTCCTGTCCATTAAAGAGAGGTGAAATAATAGCACGAGAAGATGACAACGGTATTGGGGTGCTAAAATGGAGAGATGATCGGGGTGTTAGAATATTATCAACAAAACGTGCACTCATTATGACTTCAAGCTGAGATTATGGATCTTGGACCAAGATGTCGTCAAACGGTCGCCAACTTTGGCGAATTTTAAAGATTTCTTGCCAAATTTGACGACAAAAGTTAATCACCCAAAGCACAGCCAATTTGATAATACCTCGGCAATATAACGAGATAGCGTCAATGTTAAATGAAATTGCTCCCTGTAACTTTATTTTTCTGATAGAGCTTCATCTCTTCAGACTTTTCATGTTATATTATACAAAATTCGTAACAGTAGTTGGTCTTGAACTATAAAGGTAAGATATGAACACTGCATTCAGAAACCTGTAGAATGCAAAATTTGGGTAAGGATTTAGTAATAATAATTTCTTTTACACTGGCATTGGTAGAAGCTTCAGGATTCATCATAAATTTACCCACATAAAAAAAATAAAATCAATATATTGACGTGTGAGATTGCGTGCATTTTGCATCTAAAGACGTATCACAAAGCGAAGTTTTGGAAGGAGGTGTGACATTTTATTTCTAAATTTAACCGCTAATATCGCGAAATAGTACAAATTTAAACTCTTTAAATACAAGCTGTGCAACTGAGAGTTAATCAGCTGCTACATTATTAGCAATATTGAAAATGGATTGCAAATGCAAAGAAATAAATTCCGTGTAGACATGGAATTTTTGTCTTTGCATTCTATATTATAAAAAGCGCCATCTGTTGGTCAAAATATGAACTCCCCCCCCCCGAAAATGTCTACTACGGGTAGTTTATGAGGTATCTTGTATATATTTCTTGAAAAATTATTAGAATTGCTGTCATTTGGGATACTTCGAGAATTTTGTATTTTGGAAGTGAAAAAAATGTAGACATTTATATTGTGTATTAAAGTTTGACTTTTATTTACATGTAAAGTGAATTTCCTCTAAAATTGCATTTATTTATAAGGCTATCGGGAGCAAAATATTAAATGCTGGATTTTATTTCTCGGATTAAGGCAAAGAAACTTAAATTCGATTCTGCTATTTAAGCTGCATTTATGTTGATATACGAGCTTATGCTAAGTAGTTTATTGACAGTCAAACACTTTTTTCCTCGCCAAAAGTTTAGTGTTCATCTTATTTTTTCGTTTCCTTAAACTTGAGGGAAAAAAAGTAAAGGCAGTTATTAAACTGCGATTTGGTCGTTAAATGAAAAACAAATTCTTTCAGAAATTTAGTTTTAAAATCGTGGATTTTAAGAGGGGAGTAAGAAACTTTTGTTGTTTCTTCAGCGGCTTAGAAACTTCAAAAAAGTCATTTCTTTAATTTGTTGAACTTCTCTTATATTTATCTACGTACAACTTCATTCGAAATTCATTCTAACTCTCGGACATTATTTTAT